ATAATTTATGTCCATTTATGGGCGGAAAGGCTCAGCTCTCTTCCTGAAAGGATCACTGGTTTCGAGAGAAAGCTGTGAGGATGGAAATAACCTCACCTACGACGGTCACTAATCCGTCTAAACAACGCCAAACGTGCTATTTTTTACGAATAAATAACATTCCTGTCTTTAAATGCTTCTGTACAAAAGCGGCAATGAGCCCGATTTATCTTTCACCGGGTCGCAGACCCAGAAAAAGCTGCGGGCGTGCTGGGAAAAACACCTGCCGCCAGCTTTTTGAGGCCTAATTCTCCCGTTTCCTCCCGCAGAGCTGCACACCCTCTGGCAGAACGAGGAGCGGGCCGCCATCTCCTCCGGGAAGATGAACGAGATCTGGCACCGCCGGCACGACTTCTGGCTGCTGGCGGGAATAGTGATGTATCCCTGACAGCAGCTGCCCGAGCGGTGAACCCCGCCGTGTTTATTTTTCTACGGGCCGGCAGAAGCCCGGCGTAATAAGTCAACAGGCCAGCCAGAGCTCTGTAAACAGCTAAAGCGTGTCTGCCGTCGGGTCATCTAGTTCATGTTGCTCTCTCCCATTATAGTAATTAAAGCCGTGCAGGATTCACATTAAACTCTGTTTTCGTTAGCCTGGGAGCTAAACCCGAGACCTGTTTAGGCTGGAATAAGAGGAGGAAATGCTGCTCAGAATCAACGTTATAAAAAGATAAACGTTTTCTTGAAGATTTACGAGAAGTAATTCAGCTCAACAAAAGGGATTAACATTTTATAGCATCCCTTTAATTAGATGAGCGTATTGACTGAACTCCCATTTTGTTGGTTTGCTTAATGCTAAGACTGAATGTTAGCGCAAGCAGCTAGCTTACCTTAACAAGTTCAGGAAAGGATAAAAAATTAAAAATAGTTCATTTTGCTTCCTCCTTGTTGACACATTAATGTAGAATTTACATTGTATTTATTCTATGAAACTTTAAAGTTGTTTTTGTAACCTTCACACAATGTGATTTCTAATTTTCATGCTAGTCTTTAAGCTAAGCTAATCAACTGCTAGCTTCGTTTCATTTCAACGGCCGGCTTTTCTTTTTTTTTTAAACCGCAAAAACTGTAAACTAGTTTTGTTTTTTCTTTTTTTAAATCGTAAACACATGAATGATCAAGACATACAAATGACATTTTAATTGGTACATCTTCCTTTATGCTTCAAATTCTGGCTTTAATTCAAACCTAGGGATGACAGAAGTAGCTATTTCCTTCACACTATTTTTGCAGTTTTTTTTATTTTTACCTAACGAGTCTTTAAAATGGGAAAATGGGGATTCTTAAAAAGGCAGAAGCCTGTTTTGCCTTTGCTTCAGACTTTATTCAGGGTCAGGAATTGTCTTATTTCTCACCTTTTCTGAGCCGGTTTGTTCCACGACCCTTGACCCCTGGGCCAGACACGGATACGCCCGGTGGCAGGACATCCAGAACGACCCCCAGTTTGCCATCGTCAACGAGCCCTTCAAGTCGCAAGCCAACAAAGGAAACTTCCTGGAGATGAAAAATAAATTTCTGGCCCGACGCTTCAAGGTAATATCAGATATTTTCACGCTTTTTGCTTTTGTTAGAAGTTAATTTACCAGTTTTTTTACTTTAGATACAGCCATTATCCATTAAATAATTATATGATATGATATAGAGATATTTTCTATTAAAGCTTTTCACTTTACCCAAGAGAGACACAAATCTGAAATTTAAAGATGTCTGAGGGTTAGTGTTTGGTGTTTGGCTTATATGTAAATAATGTTTTCAGCCTTCCAGAGAAGTCTTGAGGCTCAGGCTGCTCAGTCTCCTGACTTTTTTAAACGATCCGGTGACAGATGCCCCTAGACCCACATATTAGGCGAATGGTAGTGCTGACCGCTGCACTTCTGGACGAGCTCTCATCCTGTTTTCGAGCGGCTCACATGTTTCAGATCCTTCCCTCAACATCCTCATTTACTGTATCGCGCGGTCGCCCGTTCCTTGTTATCTGTCCATTAGAGGTTTGTGCAAAAAGTGACGTTATCGACACACGGGGCAGCACCGAAAAAAAGGCAGTTTCCCACCAATATTCTCCTCGGGTGGTTTGTTTGTGGGTTGGGCAACACGCTCACTTCTTTTGCAACATTTGACTACAAATAGCTTCTTTTTCCTGGACAACTGAATCACTGAGTATACAGAATTATTGGGAAATTGTTGTATTACCAAATCCTGTGTCCATCATATTATAAAAATGTTGATTAAGGGGAAAAAAAGTCTTGATCTTTGTAGATTTAATTAGATGATTAATTTCAGATGTTCTTAAATGTTCGATTTAATTTATTATTCATTTAGTTTTTAAGGCAGAAAACTACCAAACCAGACCAGTGATGTGTGTACATACTAAGAGCATATTTTGAATTACAGCAAACATTTTCTACCATTTTTGGTGTCCTTTCACTTTTGCAGCAAAATAAAGCCTTAAATTAAGAAAGCACAACTGATATAGTTTAAAAATAAGACAAGTGTGTCTGATGAAGCCTCTTAAGAAGTGAGTACGTTAATATCTGCAAATACTTCCAGATATTTAGAAATGTTGCGCTTATTATAAAAATGTTAATGTAGCTTATGAGCGCCATAATGAGCCTCAGTTAAACATTTAAAATCACAAATAAAAAAAAGACTTGATGGTGTTTTTGGTCGATGACACCATAGAAGAAGAAATAACTTCCTGATTGTTAGACCAAAAAGGCTGTATTCTCAGTTTTTGTCTTGTTCAATAGGGCTCATCCTTTGAGTTTCAGGCCTTTTTTAAAAGATATTTGTGTGACTCTCTGGTCAGATTTTTGGGGGCCTTATGAAGGAAAATGCTGCTTCCTGTTTATATAGAAAACTCCTCTATGGTCGAGTACATATTTTTAGCTTTTTGTGGGTGTTTTTATAAGTCTTTTTTCGAACATTCCTCCATTAAACAGCAAATTGAGCTGGGCTTTAACCATGTTTAATATCCCATATTTACCCCCCCCCCCCTAGCTTTTGGAGCAGGCGCTGGTCATAGAGGAGCAGCTCCGGAGGGCGGCCTACCTGAACATGACCCAGGACCCCAGCCACCCCGCCATGGCGCTCAACGCGCGCTTCGCCGAGGTGGAGTGCCTGGCGGAGTCGCACCAGCACCTCAGCAAGGAATCGCTGGCCGGAAACAAGCCGGCTAACGCCGTCCTGCACAAAGGTCAGAAACCCGGGTTTTTTACCAACCAACCACGAGCGGGAAAACGTGAGCCAGCGAGCAGTGTTGTGCGTACACACTAAGAGCATATTTTGAATAACAGCAAACTTTTTCGATCATTTTTGGTGTCCTTTCACTTCTTTTGCAGCAAAATAAAGCCTTAGATTAAGAAAGCACAACTGATGTAGTTTAAAAATATGACAAGTGTGTCTGATGATGCCTCTTAAGAAGTGAGTACGTTAATATCTGCAAATACTTCCAGATATTTAGAAATTGTGCTGACGGAAGTAGGCGAAAGGAGACACATAGCCATTGTTTTCATGGAGGTGACGACAGGGGTTGAAGAAAAACGGCTTTATTATTTTAATCAAAATATCAAGAATATGCTTTGTAGGTGGGCTGGTGGTTAGCACCCTCGCCTCCCTGCAAGAAGGTTCTGGGTTGGAGTCCCGGGGGAACCAGGACCTTTCTGGGTGGAGTCTGCATGTTCTCCTGTGTCTGTGGGTTCTCTCCGGGTTCTCCGGCTTCCTCCCACCGTCCAAAAACCTGCAAGTTAGGTTGGCTGGACTCCAAACTGCCCTTAGTGTGAGTGTGTGTGGTTGTTGGTCCTTGCGTGTCTCTGTGTGTCCCTGTGATGGACTGGTGGACTGTTCAGGGTGACCCCGCCTCTCCCCATTGGCTACTGGGATAGGCTCCGCCCCCCCCGACCCCATTAGGGAATAAGGGGTAACGATAATGGATGGATGGATGCTTTGTAGGCGTCTGTTTTTTACTCAATTCAGTTAATTATTCAGAACGGGGTTGTTTTCTTTGTGTATCGGGAGCTGGAGGTGGGTGAGTCTCCCAGTATAGTCTCCCAGTATCCCAGTATAGTCTCTGCTCCCCCCCAGTGCTGAACCAGCTGGAGGAGCTGCTGAGCGACATGAAGGCGGACGTGACCCGGCTGCCGGCCACGCTCTCGCGGGTCCCGCCCATCGCCGCCCGCCTGCAGATGTCCGAGAGGAGCATCCTCAGCCGGCTGGCCAGCAAGGGCTCGGAGACACACACACCTCCGGTCAGCACACACACACACACACACACACACACACACACACACACACACACAC